CCCTAACTTTTTGTAAATATTCTATGACTTATTTTCATAAGGGATAATGTAGGATTCTAATGATGAAAGAATTTTTCAAATCGGTCCAATAGTTTCGGAGCATATTCAATTCAAAGAAACAAACAAATCTTTACTCTTTATAATATTAGTGTAGATGTATAGATATATAAAGGTTACATTTACAGTATTCTGTAGCATTACATGAACAGATGATTCTGTAGAAAAATAAAATGTCTTTTAATTTAGTTTAGAGTCCGCCGGGTTCTTAAACTTACATTAAATCAGTTACCTCAGTGACGCGATGTTCTGGTGAACTCTTGATTAATGTTCGTGCAATTACAACTCCACTTATTTTTAATGCAGTGGCATGCGACTTGAATTAAGTTTCATTTTCGTTGTCTATGTTGCTGTGACAAGCGAGCACACAGTCCACCTTATGGTATAGACATCTACATCTATCCTCAATAAAGACTCAAAATGCAGATGCGTTGTCAACTGTGAGGATTAAGATGGTATGCCTCTTTTCCAGTAAAAAGGGTATCCGGTTCTCTACACTCAACATAAGAAGCATAGCAGCATTACGCTTCTATTTTACGCTGGTATTCTGTGAGAGTGTGGTCCCACCCCGGTTGAGCCGAACCATTCATGCCACAGCCACAATATAGCTGCAGCGTGGCTCTACCACGTAAGGAAAATGGTTAGAGTTTAATAGAAGAGAAAACAAACATGCGGCTGATTTAGTGGTCAGTAGCTACTGTTCGTAGATTTAGAATATACTGGCGTATAGACCAACATAGTGTGTAAGGGAGACGAAAATTCCTTATGGCAATAATGCAAGATAGAAAAGGATACCAAATCTCAAGACTCTGTAACTGATTTTGAATGACAGGGCGGCACAAGTCGGCACGCAAGAAATAAGCACCTAGATATTTTGTAATTTTTTAAGAGCGTAATAGTGATTATTTTTAAGTAAGTTACTTTTTCCAAAATGTTTACTTGTTCTATGAGTGACAGTGGTATTTATAATAGAAATATTCCTGAATAATCACGTAGTTTGTAATTTGCGTGAATTTGGTAAATACATTTTTATACAAAATATTTTACATTACCCTAGGGATTGACTCAACTATATCAAAATTATTGTCTATATTTATCTTGAATGTTTATGTTGAATTGACAAACACAACAAGAAAATAAATTATTGGTTTACATTCTATAAATGTAATTTTATTTTGCCGTTTGACAAACAGAGTCCCTCTGGAATCTATAATTAGAAAAAATGGTTAAGGTTAATTGGACAGATTGGTTGGAATCCAAAGAAAAACTCAACAATTTACAGCAAACATTTACTTGAGAAGTATAAAAGAAAAAGTACAACAGAAACAATTTTATTAAAAGCAGCCATTTCTGCATTATTTGTACCTTAAAGAATAATATTTTTTTTATTTATTTATTTAAACTTTTATGTACAAAGTTGTACATATGGCGGATTAATGGGCATTCTCTCTCAGTCAACCATTAGGATAAGTAGAGATACACAAACAAGAAGCGTTAAGCAGCAATCAAAATAGAAAGTGCTAAATAAAATTAAAAAATATTATAAATACAAAATAACGATACAATGACATATACATATACGTACAATTATCTATATATATATGTATATAGATACACATACCTACTATCCTGGCACATATTCAATGTGCCAGGATAGTATAAATTCCATAGTATTTTATACTCACAAAGCTCGACGCCCGATGATTTAAACACTACTAATGATGATTTAAACATATTTATTTCAAATTTCATCTACACTAATATAATATTATAAAGAGGAAATATTTCTTTGTTTGTTTGAATTGAATAGGCTCCGAAACTACTACACCGATTTGAAAAATTCTTTCACCATTAGAACTACATTATCCCTTATTAACATAGGCTATAGAATATTTTCAATAAGTTATACTTCGTAATTATAACCCAAGGTGTGAAAAAAATACCAAAAAGAATCTTTATATTGCGTACACTACTGTAAACTATAGACAATAGAGCAAAGTGACGTACTACAGGTTTATAGAAGGAATCAATTTCTACAAATATCTGCAATAACATATGTCTAACTATTACGGTTTTGTCACAATATCTAATTTTTCATATTAAAACATGCAATAGTAACGCCGAATAAATTCTTATTACGCGTACACTGCGGAAACTATTGACAATAGAGCAAAGTGATTTACTGCAGTTTTGTAGACGACATCTACAAAAAAAGTCTACGTTACTATATGTCTAACTATTACAGTTATATCATAATAAGTACTTTTTTCATGTAAAATTATGCGGACGCTGCAGAAACTATTAACAATAGAGCAAAGTGATGTACTATAGTTTTATAAAAGATATTAACATCTACAAAAAAGTCTGAGATACTATATATCTAATTATTACAGTTATTTCACAATAACTACTTTTTCATGTGAAAGTATATAATAGTAACGCCGATAAAAACTAGGCCACATTATACGTACCTTGATATTAATCCTTATATCCAAATAAATCACTTCGTACTCAAGGCTATATCAGTACCTGTAGCATGCGTAGCCACCAGTTACGTTAACCATATAATTTAAGTAACATTTTTCACTTTTTAAATCTTTGTTACTTTAGCAACCGTCCGTTGTGTTGTCTTTCTCGAAGTTCGCATGTCGCGAGGCGCAGCCACATGACATACGCGATGGAAACCGCGGGGCACAGCTAGTAATATACATAAAAAAGAGACCCATAGTTGACGACATGCAACAGGCAACATACACTGCTTGTTTTTTTTTAGCACACGGTCTGCCAGATGGCAAGTAGACGCTGTAGTCCATAGAAATTTACATTTATTCTCGATTAAGACACCAAAATGCGGATTCGTTGTCATCCTTCAGGATTAATATGGAATGGCTCGTTTCCACTGGAAAGGCTTCCGAGTCTACACTCACCATATGAAACACAGCTTCTATTTTACGCTGGTATTCTGTAAAAGCGGGATTTTTCGTAATATAGATGCAGCATGGCTCTACCATGTATATAAAATATGTATCATGTATATTGTAATTTTCAAGTTTTGACGTATGCCTGACGAAAAGATATGTTTGTCTCCAGAACGTTGAGTACCCGAGCAGTATCAACATAAATATTATCTCAAATTATTACACCTGATAAAAATATTGCAAGATCTTTCATCGAGCACAATTCAACACTATGAAATCCAATGCTGAGGACGTGGTATTAATATTGACTAGAAATTAAATCTTTGGCTTGTCACACAAACTGAATTATAACATTTTAATTAATATGCAATACAGGACATGATCATTAAATAAATGATGCATGTTACGGAGTAGGAGAATTTCCATACTAATGGACGATGCAAATTGTATGTATGTATGTATGTGATGATAATAGTAGTCGATTTTATAATATTGCCTTTCGCAGCAAAGAATAGCAATTATGACAAATCCTCTCTACAAAAGGACTGGCCAAATACAACTGCGGATTTTATTACTCAATGAATAATGGAGATTAAAAATATTACGGCCATTAATAAATTATTAGTAGGTAACTTTAATACACATATAAATTATTTTGAGCTGACTTCAGATAAGAAGGAAGTTCTCCATTCGAATGTATGTTTTTTTTTCGTATTCATGTTACGCAATAAGTTCATCATTCGTCTGACCATGTACTATTGGTGTACGAATATCCACTACCCCATATCGTCCCGTGGGTGTCGTAAGAGGCGACAGAGGGAAACAAACCAGGAGAGAGACAGCAGCGTCTTAACTATGGGGAGGCTAATGTTCAGCAGTGGAATTTTGATATGCTGTAGTATGTAACTTTTACACCTAATGGGGATAAAAATTAAGAAAGAAGTTTTTAACTTAATGTAATGTACTCTCTTCTACTTTTTCGAAAATTAATTAAATCATTTTTTTATCTGAAGCTGACTGGCCTACACTTTTATAATTTTATTATATACACTTTTATATTATGGTTGTTGCGCGAATGGTTAGTCTCAACTGGGGGAAGAACGTTGCACTCACATAATAACAGCGTGAAATAGCAACTTAATTCTGCTGTTTCTTGTATGGTGCTCGTATCCTACACTTGACCTCTCTCCGTTCGTGTCAGATTCCGTGGCACCGGAATATGAGAGTGAGAGAATAGAGTGCACCTGTGCTTGCGCATACACTTGCATATAATCATGCCATGCGCAGATGGACAATCTCCGTCGAGACTGGAGAATTATGAGAATTTTGAATTTCATCCGAGTACCCTGGCGTGAAAACTTATCTGCGTTATTATAATTATTAGAATATAGATGAAGATGTCTATGGGCCACAGCATCAGCCATTACAATGTGGGTGTTTTCAAAGCAAGAGTAAATAGGTTTTTGTTAAGTCAGTCCGATTCATCACTTTCGAATGCATCACCAGTTACGATCAGGAGGAATAGTAGTTATAACGAGGCTATATTTTTCGAACATATATACAATGTTAACAAAGGGTTTTCACGTGTAAATAATGCTTCGTTATTAACTACCAACAAATTCGAGGATTTTACTTTATGTACAGGTATAATAAAATGTAGTGAATGCTTAAAACGAACCGCTGATGAAATTGGAGCTCTAAAGTCTAACAGTCAAAATAATGCTATAATTGATAATAAAACTGAAAATATACCTGCAAAGAAAATAAAGAAAGACATTCCTGAAAAATCAAATGAATCGGGAAATAATAAAGAGGAGCCGAAGCATAATGGAACTAAGTTTCAGGAAAACATAAAAAATGAAATATGCTCACCTAAAAAAGAAGATATTTGCAAAACAGCAACAAATAAAAAAAATATAAAACAGAAAGGAATAGCTGGATTTTTTGTAAATCTAATGGAGTTACTATTAAAAAGGAAATAGAAAAAAGCCAGTCAAAACAGAAGTTAAAGAGGTCAAGGTACAAATGTCTACTACAACAGAAGTTAAAGTAAAAAGAATGTCAGTAGATATTGTAGTGGAAAATCAACAAAAGAAGGTTAAAGAGAGTGATAAAAAATTGAAGAACAAACAAGAACCAGAAAAAAGACTGATAACAAGTCTGATGTTGTAGAAGAAAAGAAAATCACAAAGAAAAACTTGAGAGTTGACAAGAAAAGAAAGAGAGTGTTATGTGTTTCAGATAGTGAGGGTGATAATGAAACTAATGACCCATTTATCTCTGAAGAACATATGGATGTAAAAAATGAGTCAGAAGATGAAATACCTCCTACCCCATCTGTAAATACCATTAAAATCACTTCAGGTATAGTAAATCCTAAAAAGAGAAGAAAGATTGTAGATAAGACATATACTGGTGAAGACGGTTATATTATAACAAGAAAGGAAGAGGTATATGAGAGTTGTTCCGAAAATGATGAAGAAGTAAAAAGCAAAGAAAATGTTGAACATGTTAATACAAAAATAATAGAGACCTCACCAAAAGGAAAGAAGAACGGTGTGAAAACTTTTAAGAAAAAGGTATCTCAACCCCAAACAGGAAAACAAACTACAATTATGAACTTCTTTAATAAATCTGTTAACGGATGAATTTACTTTATGAAATCATTGATATGTTACACTTTATCCATATCAGAACAAAAAATAATGTACTGCAAATTATTTTGGTTTCATAATTTTAATAAAATAACTGTTAAGCGCTGGCTTAGAATAGTAAGAAAGTTAATTTAAAAAAGTTTATATTACCTTACCTTAGCACTTGAAATGAGAAAAATAATATCGTAGCAAATTGTGGTTGAAATTCTTCTATGTGCTTTCATTACGCGATCTTAAAAGCATTTAATTTACTGCTCCCGTTTAATGTAAGCTTCTCCAAGTGCATATTAAATTACTTGCATCTAGTCTTAGCAAGTACTTTATATAAAATTAAAGTTTTTATGAGGCGTTAAATTTTTTATTTCCTTAAGAGTAGCAATTTATTTTTCAAATATAATAACGCAACAGTGACCAATTTAACAAAGATTTAAATAGTGAAAAATGTTACTTAAATTACATGGTTAACGTAACTGGTGGTTACGCATGGTACACATGCTGATATAGCCTTGTACGTGTACTGATATATGGTATCGCAGACTTTATTTGTAGATATTAATGTCCTTTATAAAACTGTAGTACATCACTTTGCTCTATTGTCAATAGTTTTCACAGCGTACGCATAATTTAACATGAAAAAGTAGTTATTGTGACATACCTAAAATAGTTAAGACATATAGTATTGCAGAATTTTTATGTAGATATTGATATCGTCCATAAAACTGCAGTAAATCACTTTGCTCTATTGTCAATAGTTTCCGCAGTGTACGCGTTATAAGGATTTTTCGGCGTTACTATTGCATGTTTTAATATGAAAAAGTAGTTATTATGACATATAACCGTAATCGTTAAAGACGTGCTACTGCAGAATTTTTGTAGATATTGATGTCTCCTATAAAACTGTAGTACATCAATGGTCTAATGTTAATATTTTCTGCAGCGAACGCGATATAAGGATTTTTCGGTGTTGTTATTTCATATTTTAACATTAAAAAGTAGTTATTGTAATATCATTGTAATAGTTAGATACATAGTATTGCAGACTTTTTGTATATAATGATGATCTGCATAAAACTGTACTACATAACTTTGCTCTGTTGTCCATAGTTACCGCAGCGTACGCTATATCAAGATTTTTTTTTTGGTATATTTTTCACACCTTGGGTTACAATAACAAAGTTTTCATACGGATCCCTAACTTTTTGTAAATATTCTATAACTTATTTTCATAAGGGATAATGTAGGATTCTAATAGTGAAAGAATTTTTCAAATCGGTCCAATAGTTTCGGAGCATATTCAATTCAAAGAAACAAACAAATCTTTACTCTTTATAATATTAGTGTAGATGTATAGATATATAAAGGTTACATTTACAGTATTCCGTAGCATTACATGAACAGATGATTCTGTAGAAAAATAAAATGTCTTTTAATTTAGTTTAGATTCCGCCGGGTTCTTAAACTTACTTTAAATCAGTTACCTCAGTGACGCGATATTCTGGTGAACTCTTGATTAATGTTCGTGCAATTCCAACTCTACTTATTTTTATGCAGTGGCATGCGACTTAGATTAATTTTCTTTTTCGTTTTCTCTGTTGCTGTGACAAGCGAGCACACAGTCCACCTGATGGTAAGTGGTTACTGTGACCCATAGACATCTACATCTATCCGCAATAAAGACTCAAAATGCAGATGCGTTGTCAACTGTGAGGATTAAGATGGTATGCTTCTTTTCCAGTTAAAAGGGTATCCGGTTCTCTACACTCAACATAAGAAACACAGCAGCATTAAGCTTCTATTTTACGCTGGTATTCTGTGAGAGCATGGTCCTACCCCGGTTGAGCCGATCCATTCATGCTACAGCCACAATATAGCTGCAGAGTGGGTCTACCACATAAAAAAATGGTTGTAGGTTAATAGAAGAGAAAACAAACCAGCATGCGGCTGATTTAGTGGTCAGTAGCTACTGTTCGTAGATTTAGAATGTACTGGCGTATAGACCAACATAGTGTGCAAGGGAGACGAAAATTCCTTATGGCAATAATGCAAGATAGAAAAGGATAACAAATCTTATTATTTGATGACTTGTATTGACTCAACTTTATCAAAGTTATTGTTGATATTTATCTTGAATTTTATATTGAATTGATAGATACAAAAAGAAAATAAATTCTTGGTTAACATTCTATAAATGTAATTTTATTTTGACGTTTGGCAAACAGAGTCCCTCTGGAATCTATAATTAGAAAAAATGGTTACGATTAATTGGACGGATTGGTTGGAATCCAAAGAAAAACTCAACAATTTGCAGCAAACATTTACTTGAGAGGTATAAAAGAAAAAGTACAATAAAAACAATTTTATTATAAGCAGCAATTTCTGCATTATTTGTACCTTAAAGAATAATATTTTTTTTATTTATTTAAAATTTTATGCACAAAGTTGTACACATGGCGGACTTAATGGGCATTCTCTCTCAGACAACCATTAGGATAAGTAGAGATACGCAAACAAGAAGCGTTAAGCGGCAATCAAAATAGAAATGGCTAAATAAAATAAAAAAAACATTATAAATACAAAATAACGATACAATTACATATACATATACGTACAATCATCGGTACTACACATACTTACTATCCTGGCACGTTGAATATTTGCCAGGATAGTAGTAATTCCATAGTATTTTATACTCACAAAGCTCGACGCCCGATGGCCGAAGACATTGTGCCGAGGGCTTAAATGGCGTGGTTCATCACCTATAGCGTTAGTCGTAGAGAAGTGGAACTCGACGACTAATAGCGACGCGGATCAATAGATCTGCGAGATTAAGTTGCACTTACCGCGATCAGTCCTTGAATGAGTGAACATTTCCTTAACATACCGAGATTGAGAGAATAGAGAGTGCATCTGTATCCTTAGACATGTGGTGCACTTTACTCTGCATTATGTTCTTAAAGTTTCTGCACATGAAATGATAATAAGTTTATTATTACTTTATGCTTTTCAGATGATAACTTTTATGTTGAAGCGTCATAAAGTTATTGGCCTTCAAACAGAACAATCTTATTTAACTGATTCCTACCAGTTTCAATACCTAAATTAATAAGTTTATATTTTACATTTTTAAGTTGAATGTGAAAATAAACTTCCAAAGATCATAACTCGAAAATACAACTTTCCGATCTGATTCTTAGGGAGTTTTTTAAGTTTATCGGTACAGTCACCTGGGATTTTTTACATTTGAATTAAAATCCAAGAAAAGGCAGGTAGGTACAGGTACCCAGGAACATGTTATATGAATATATTGTAATTATTTAAGAACTATCATAGTAAAAATTCAGTTAATTTTGTAAGTTATTCAATCTCTTGCACTATATTGTTATTTTTATCTTTTTATCGCTTCCTTAACGATATTTTTTCGATAGTCCTTGTAAGTACAATGTACATCACTAGCTAACGCACACAATAACAAATCAAAATTAGTCACGCGAAATAGCACACCCCGAAAATGTCAGGTCGTCTATAGTATATTGAAAACTGTAAACTATATCACCGGAGTAATTGCAGGTGCATTGGGAAAACTTTTAGAAGGAGTAGAATTTTGTGGAAAATATTATTTTTTATAGCCATACAGCCAGTTGCTGTGAGTCATTTCATCTTAGTCCTCAATGCAACGTTCAATGCGTAGCCTATTATTAAAGTTAGTTGCAGTTGTCGATGAGCCACTTCAGTTGTAGAAATAGTAATAGAATTAAGGGTGATCAGTGAACTCACAGTCCACCTGATGTTGAGTGGGTGGTGTAGTCCATAAATACCTAAATCTATCTTCGGTTAAGTGTTCCAAAAGAAAGTATGCCTTATTACCACTAAAGAGATTATTTATTCTCATACATAGCTTTGTAAATTGCTAAAAAAATAACCAATGTTGGTCAAACTCTTTATAAAATATTTAGCTATTAAAAAAGTAAAATGGAAATACCAATTATGTGCCGCAAACTTACAAGTCTTGTCTTTTTGTCCGCCATTCAACTGAGTATATACTCAAATTGTTTGTCTTGGAAGTGGTAATAAACTGTCGAATTATTTTAAGTGTATTTGGTATAAATGAAAGACTTCTACGTATATTACATTACTATGTTACTTTTTTCAGGAAAATATGAAACAAAAGTAAATGATTATCTGAAATAAACATCATATAACGTTGATTAAGTGCGTATATAATAATGACAGCGCTTTCTTACATAACAAAATCAATGTCAGGTACAACATTTGCGGTTTAGAAAACAAAGCAATTGTCTTCTTGCCCGCTTGGTGCCGACTAAAGGAGTTGCTGAGAATAGACCTTAATTAGTGCTTAATGTATTAAAGTCGCAGAGTCCGTCTAGTAGGAAACATAATTTAATTTATATTTATATTAAAAAAAGTAATTACCCATCCAATCGATGCATCTTCGCGAAGGCAGTGGCAGTTTATTGATGCCCTACTTGAAGAAATCAGCTGGACTACAGGCAAAAATTCTTCAAAGGCCTTTTGCACTGCCTTACGAGGATTGAATTTTTTGTCCGCCAAAAAGTTATCCAAATTCTGCAAGAAGAACAAGTATGTGGGCCCAAAAACTAGTAAGGACGGCGGATGACGGAGAGCTTCCAACCCCAGTTCTAGTAACTCGGAGACCGTTTGTTGTGCAGTATGAGATTGCACGTTGACATGCAGGAGCAGTGTTTAGTTCTTCACAGTTCACATCTGCAGTAATGCTCATCCCGTTTGCTACACTGCCAAACAGCGACTATCACTTTTATAGGGGTAAGTTTTCGTTTACGGCAATGCTTATGTGCTGGGTCAGGATCCAACCAAATTGCTGAGCGCTTACGATTGTCAAACAAAATCAATTTTTCGTTGTAAGTAACAACAATATGTAAAAGCTTTTACAAAAATTTACTTCGCAAATATCCGCGTTATAAAATAAAATGATGTGTCTTACCTAGTATGAAGAA